GACGCCTCCCTCGGCGCCGGGAAAGCCTGGGAGAGTTGAGGCCAGTGGATCTCGTGGAGCCCTAATGGCTCCTGGAACGGAATCCCCGGGGAGTCAGGTGCTACTAGCCCGCGCACCCTGCGAGGCTGGCATGGAGAGGTGCTACGCCGCTGCTCCACCCCTTTTCTCCCTGCAGTTACACTGCGCCCTGTGGTCTACAACCTGGCTCCCCGGTGAACACTGCCTGGCAAACTCGTGACTGAGAAAAAATCACAAAAACTCCCCAGCTGCTCCCAGCCATCACGCCAGCTGCCTGGTACGTGCGGCGAACCAACGCGTGGCTGCTGTGACATCGGAGGGAAAGCGAAGCTGTCCTGGTCAAGAAGTCTCCAAGGGACTAAAATTGCTTCAGCCTTCACGCCCCCGCACGTGGGTGTCCTCTGCCCCCCATACCCCGCTGTCCGCAGTCACCCGCAAGATTCTTCCACCTGTCTCGCCCGGGTTCTTCTACAGGACCTGGCGGGCGGAGCCAAACTGCGGTGACGTAACGCGAAAGGGGCGTGGGGAACTGTGCCGAGGGGCCCCCGCCGGCCGGCTGGCCCAGTCCAAGCGGCGCAGCAACCAGCGCGCGCGCTCTCATCGCCACCGGCACCCCGAGCTCCTGTCTGCGGCTGAGCACCAGGGTTGTGCGGGCTGGCGAGCCCTCGAACGCACAAGGGACGAGCAGAAGCCAGCGCGCAACACCCAGACACCTAGCACCAGTCCCGGCCAAACTGCTGCGTGCCGGGAGCCGGCTGGGTCAGAGGCAGGCAACCGCGGGGTGCCAGCGAGCTGAGCCAGCAGATTGCAGGGGAAGAAGCAAAGGTGAGGTGTGCGTGTGCTCCCATGTATGAGAGAGAGAAGAGAGAGAGAGAGAGAGAGAGAGAGAGAGAAGCACACCTGTGTCCATCTGCACTGGTGGTGGGCTGTGTGCCCATAGCTGTGCTTTAGTGTGGGTCCCGGTATACGATTCCCCACCCTTGTGCCCTTTGGGGATGAACCACCACGGGTCTCCGGCGTGAGTAGGGTCCGTAGATTGTGTGTGCTGGAATGAACTTGACCGCACAGCCTCAAGCCCGCGTTCTGGCGTGTGCCTTTCCACCCCGGTGTCCATCCAGGTGGTGGCTGCGACCGGGACAACTTCTTTCCCAGTCGCCTACACATGAGCCCGGGCTTGAGGAAAGCGAGGCCGGCGGGGAGACTTGGCAGCGGGCGGCTCTTTGGCCAGGGTGCGCGCCGGAAGATCCCAAGCAGGTGCCAGCCCGGGGCAGGCGGCGGCGTGGAGCGGAGGAAAAAGGGACTTCTCCCTTCGTTTTTCCTGGCCGGGCCAGGCCTTGAGCGGTCTGGGTCTGCACCAACTCCCTTAGCCCTCAGGGCAGCTAGGACTGACAGAATGAATTTGGAGAGCGCCCACCATGTGGCTCCCCCCCGCAGGGAGCCGCCCGCCAAGCCCCCGGGATATTGTCAGCCGCCCCCAGCTGTCCCTGGTGCCTCCTCCCCATCGGCGTTTTGAGGCTGGGGTGCTGCACCCCAGCCTTCGCTCTCACTCCCTCGTTTCTGAAAACGACGGGGAACCCACTAGGTCACCCCCTACTCCGAGGATCCGCGAGTTGGCTAGGCAGGCGAAGGATATTGGGTGCAGGTTGGAGATGGGCGGGGTTGTCCTGACCCCCAGGTTCCCCTAGCCAACGCCGCCCCCGGCTTCTCCCAGGTGCTCCAGTGCCACCGCTGCGGACCGCAGGTGGCCCGCACTCTCCCTGCCCAGAGGGGAAGGGGCCGGTGGGGGAAGTCACTCGCCAGTCGCGGAAGGGAAAATGCCCCCCTCCTTTCAGCATACCGGGTGAGGACGGATGGGGAAAGAAACCAGATTAGGACCACGCTTATGTCCGGTGCTGGGTTCCCCCTCCCAACACATAGTTTTTGGGGTGATAAAGCCCCTTTGGGAAGCAGGACTACTGTCGCCCTCCTCCCCAGCGGAGCCGGGATCCAGTCCCTCAAGAAAGCAACAACAGGGGAGCACTTCGGTTTCCTTGTAATCCAGAGCTGGAAAAATAAAGCTAGCTGAAAATCAAACTTCCTTGCACATTTAATGTAACCAGAATTCAGCAAGGAATCGGCTGCCTGGCGTTTGGAATCCGCAGTGTGTGGGACCACTGAAAACAGAGTCACCTGGAGACCCTAGGCAGCTAGCTGACAGCTCGTTCATTCCTTCCTCGTCTCCCCTCCCCATCTCCCAGCCAGCTCCCCTTCCTGCCTCGTCCCTAGGCGCCAACCCTGTCCACCCCAAGAGCCTCTTCTGAAAGGGGGCGGGGGAGGGGGACGGGGATCCTCGTGCAACGTGCAGTCGGGTCCAATTCGGTGGAAACTGGCAGAAAGGGCAGAGCAGGGCTGAAGAGAGGCCTGAATGCAACCTCCGACACGCCCGCACCTCCACCCAGCCCCTCTCCAGAAACCCTACTAGTGCATCTGCGGGTCAAGAGGCTGCATCTCCCTCGGCCCCTGCAGTGCACTGACCCGTGGCACAGAGATGCAGCCCTGGGAATATCAGTGGTTAATGCGCACTCCGAGTGCAGGCAGCTTAAGCAGGATTCCAGATCTGTAGAACTGAAGCAACTGACAAAATGGTTAGAAACAGAGTGCAAACTACCCAAGTTAATCCGGGGACAATAGAAACAGCTTTTTTATAGCTTTGGGTTTAATGGCTGCCAGCTTGTGTGTGTGTGTGTGTGTGTGTGTGTGTGTGTGTGTGTGTGTGTGTGTGTGTTTCTTCCCCAAAGATCAGTCACAAAGCCCCGACCTCCCTTCACAGACAGCTGCATGGCAGGGAAGTCGGTGCACCTGGCGTCCACTGTGGCACAGGTGGGCAAAGCCCCTCTGGTCCTTGCGCCTGCTTAGGGCTCCTGCCACGCAGCTGCAGTCCCTCCAAGCATGAAGCGGCACACCCCAGATCTGGACTCAAGCCATCAGGGAAAGCATCCAGGGATGGGGCAGCGCAGTGGGGGGGGGGGGGCGGTAGTCAGCCAAGAGAATGAGCCCCACTGACTGCCAAACATGCCACCCTCTGTCTCCCCATTCTTCCACCTACGTCATCTGTCACATCCCCAAGGCGCAGTTCTAACATTCCTCTGGGAAGCCCCTCTGCATCTCTGTTCACATCTCTACGCAGTGCACACACTTTAAGGATCAGTTTCCTTGCCTGTCCCTCCGCGCCTCACCCCGCTGCCCATCACGCATTGTCCCCCTAGCGGCCACCATTCACTCTGTCTCATTCACTCTTGTATCCTTGTCACCCAATCACACAGAGAAACCAGCCCTCCAGTTGTTATTTTTTTAATGCCTGAAGATAAATCACTGCATTGTCTTACATCTTAAGCCAAGCCACTAGTGTTGCAGTGATTCTTGGAGCCTGGGGGTCACCCATAGGACTCAGTCGCTTCAGACTAAAGCCAGGTGGTTTTTCTGTCACTGGACAGCCAACATGATGTGGAGAAAAGCTTCCAAGGCTTCGGCTCAGGTGGTTTATGTTCAAATCCCAACTCTGCCAGTCATGCACAAGGGGCTGCAAAAAAATTACTTAAGCATGCTAAGCCTCAGGTTCCATATCTTTAGAATGAGGAGAATCGGGGTGGACATGGTGCTGTGACAGGTAACCGCCATTGCCTGTGATACCAGCATCTCTCATGGTCACTGGTTCAAGTCCTGGCTCTTCTACCTTTGATCCAGCTCCCTGGAAATGGTTCCTGGGAAGGCAGGAGAAGATGGCCCAAGTCCTTGCACCCCTGCAGCCTCATGCAGGACCTGGACAAAGCTCCTGGCTCCAGCCTAGCTCAGATCTTTGCAGCCATCTGGGGAATGAACCAGTGGATGCGAGATCTCCCTCTCTCTCTCCACTTTGCCTTTCAAATAAGTAAATAAATCTTTAGAAATAAATGCATAAATAAAATGAATATCATTGCCCCCACTTACCCCCACCTCTTAGGATGGTGATCATGAATGACAGAGACGGGTGCTTAGAGACTGGCGTTGCCACTGACGGCAGAGTCTGCTGTTATCTGTCCTTCAGCAGGGAGCTGCTGGCACATTCTCTGGGCTGTCAGAGGCATTCCGGAGCATGTCTCGCGCAGGGTCTTTAGGAATCAGCCCTTCTAAGCTAATGAGGAAGTTAAGCACCGGGTATTCAAGGAGCAAAAATGAAAAAGAGAAAGAAACATAAATGTTTTCAATGAAAGCAGGCCAAACTTTTATTTTTAATACTGAAGACAGAAAATTGATTCACTGAGTGGATAGATTTCAATAAACTGGAGATAATGAGATGTCTTAGAGAGGAAAAAGGGGGAGGGGAGGATAATAGTCAGGAGATCCTTGTTAGCAGCCACATACAGTGTGTGGTGATTTCACAGGCCTCCCCAGCCCTACGCTGGAACAATGAGTGTCAAACCAGCCTTGGGCCGGGCCCCGGGTCATGGGGGGTCAGCACGGGACCCCAGACCTCTGCTCCCTCTCCATTCCGGGCTTTTCCATGACTGGATTTCTAAAGGGAAAGATTCCAACACAGCCATCAGATCAGCATTGACTTCCTTTAGGGGCCTGGCCACCAGTGCCAGTGCCAGACCCCTCTGAGGTCCGAGGCAGAATTTCTTCTCCAAGCTCTGGGTCACCCCCACTTGGACCAATCACCTGTTTAGGGTGTCAGGGTTCTGAGCTGTTTTTGTGTGTTTATTTATTTTGAACCCAGGACCAAGCCCACCCACCACACAAGTGTCCTCAGAGATGATGGCTTAACCCAAACCGTTCCCTTACTATTAGAAAAACAACTCAGAAAAGGAGTGTGCATGGACCAAGGCTGTGCTGCTTCTGTGGCAAGATGACATGCTTGTCACTGTCGAAGTATGCCTGAGAGGGTCAATCAGAAACTGGGCAACTTGTTGAAGCTCAAAGAGCCTGGGACTGATGGGCCAATCTCCCTTTTCCCTTCCAGATGTCGCAGTGGATCCTAGGTCTCCAGGGCCCACTAAGGTGAGCATAAGGCCCTTTCAGCCCAGAACTGCTCAGCAGCCATGGATATGGCCTACGAGCTACCCAACGGGAGCCAGACATGGCTGTCCTCTCCATTTGATCCCAATGACTCAGTGGCGGCGGCCAACCGCTCAAACCAGACAGAGCCGTACTATGACATGACGAGCAATGCAGTCCTCACGTTCATCTACTTTGTGGTCTGCATCGTGGGGCTGTGCGGTAACACACTCGTCATTTATGTCATCCTGCGCTACGCCAAGATGAAGACCATCACCAACATCTATATCCTCAACTTGGCCATCGCAGACGAGCTCTTCATGCTGGGCCTGCCCTTCCTGGCCATGCAGGTGGCTCTGGTCCACTGGCCCTTTGGCAAGGCCATCTGCCGGGTGGTCATGACTGTGGACGGCATCAACCAGTTCACCAGTATTTTCTGCTTGACGGTCATGAGCATCGACCGTTACCTGGCTGTGGTACATCCCATCAAGTCGGCCAAGTGGAGGAGGCCCCGGACGGCCAAGATGATCAACGTGGCTGTGTGGGGTGTCTCTCTGCTGGTCATCTTGCCTATCATGATCTATGCCGGCCTTCGGAGCAACCAGTGGGGGAGAAGCAGCTGCACCATCAACTGGCCAGGTGAATCTGGGGCATGGTACACAGGCTTCATCATCTATGCCTTCATCTTGGGATTCCTGGTCCCCCTCACCATCATCTGTCTTTGCTACCTGCTCATCATCATCAAAGTCAAGTCCTCTGGAATCCGAGTGGGTTCCTCCAAGAGGAAGAAGTCTGAGAAGAAGGTCACCCGTATGGTGTCCATCGTGGTGGCTGTCTTCATTTTCTGCTGGCTTCCCTTCTACATTTTCAACGTCTCTTCTGTCTCGGTGGCCATCAATCCCACTCCGGCCCTTAAAGGCATGTTTGACTTCGTGGTGGTCCTCACCTATGCCAACAGCTGTGCCAACCCTATCCTCTATGCCTTCTTGTCTGACAACTTCAAGAAGAGCTTCCAGAATGTCCTCTGCTTGGTCAAAGTGAGCGGCACAGATGATGGCGAACGGAGCGACAGCAAGCAGGACAAATCCCGGCTGAATGAGACCACAGAGACCCAGAGGACTCTCCTCAACGGAGACCTCCAAACCAGTATCTGACCCGCCGTGGGGGAGAGCAAAATAAACAAGCCAGGCCGAGCTCTACCGGCCTGCAGTGGGCTCCCTACAGTACCCTCCTCCTCCCCCTCCCCGCTCCGACCCACCACACTTTTAGAATAGGAGAGCGCTCAGCATGAGTCCAATTGAGAGAACAGTGTTTGGATGGAATCACTGGTCTGCTTCAAAGATGGTGTATTAAACTGACTTATCTCCCCTAGAAAGCGACCACTGAAATGCAAACGGACAGCTTGAAAACGCCTCAAGAGGAACTCACGCCCGGGTCTGAGCCTTCGAAATGCTAAAGTCCAACAAAAATAGAAAAAAAAAAAAGTATCTGTGTGTTTGTGTGTTTAAAACCCCAAAATGTAATCTTGTGTTCTTACATTTATACTTGTATATTCCTGTATACTCTCTGGACAGTCAGACATCATCTCTGTGTTTGCTCTGTTCACACACAGAACTTCAAGTGTGCGTGAGCCGAGGTGGGCCTTTGCCACTCATTAGCATCCACAGGCATGGACTTTCCCTGGAGCCAACACGAGGCAAGCTGCAGAGTCTCTCTTGTGGGTGCTTCTCCCAGGAGGAATCTGAGCTGTTCGCATGCTGGTGTGGTTGTGTGTTTTTGCAAAGAGTGGTAAACATAAGATGCTTTGCATTCTTTTTCTTAAGAAGGGTTCCTGAAAGTGTATAGCTCCCCAAGACCCGCCTCTGCCCTGGTTATCGCCTCATTCCTTTTAGCAGGTAAGTTAGATCCAGAGGAGAAAGGAAAGGGGGCAGATTTGTCTGACGATGCGGAACACTGGCATGTTCTCCCTTCTCAGAGTGACAGAACTGAAGGCGTGTCCACAGCGAGTTTCATGGGCGTGGCCACTGGCCATCGGGTTCAGCAAGACACCGGGTTAGTTACAGGACTGCACTTTTTCCCCTTCTCAACTTGCTTGTCTTTCTTAGGGAGCCACGGGGAGGGGAGATCATTAACTGAAAGCAAAAATTTTTTAAAAAATGGATTAGGATTCTTGTGGGGAAATAACTGTATTCTCTCTAGCATGAAAATAAATGAATAAGAATGGAGCAAAATTACACCTTTGTGAGAAGTATGAGCTTTCTTTTTTTCTTTTTCTCTTTTTCTTTTTTCATGCCAGACCTGGCTTTCTAATAGAAGAAAGTAGAAATGGGATTCAGTCAGTCCTCCAAGGGGTTTTCTGGGGCCCTCACACAAAGCCGGGCATCCAGAAAATGATATGGCATACTGAAGGCCTGAGGCCACTGCCCCCAAAACACAGGTACAAACACACCCCACGGGCCTTGCTGTGCCACCTGCCTGGCCCACTGCACACACGCTCAGTGTCACAACCTTCATGTCATTCTCAGAGAACTCAAGGACTGCTGTACGTAACACTGCCCACTATCTGTTGTTGTTGTTGTTCCCTAATAGGGCTCATGGGTAAGTAGTTAAAAACTGACTGAATGGTTTCCCAGGACTACAGGAATATAAACATGGTTGTTGGCAAGAATGCTGTCATTGGGCCTGGTGCGGTAGCCTAGCGGCTAAAGTCCTCACCTCACACACACTGGGATCCCATATGGGTGCCGGTTCTAACGCCAACAGCCCTGCTTCCCATCCAGCTTCCTGCTTGTGGCCAACAGCCCTGCTTCCCATCCAGCTCCCAGCTCCCTGCTTGTGGCCTGGGAAAGCAGTCGAGGACGGCCCAAAGCCTTGGGACCCAGCATCCATATGGGAGACCCAGAAGAGGCTCCTGACTTCAGATTGGCACAGCTCTGACCGATGTGGCCACTTGGGGAGTGAATTAAGTGATGGAAGATCTTCCTCTCTGTCTCTTCCTCTCTGTACATCTGACTTTCTAATAAAAATAAACAAAGATTAAAAAAAAAAGAATGCCATCATCTTGGGGTTTTAGATGGGAGCATCACGCTTAGTGCCTCACGTATAGATCTTACATGTTGAAATGACCTGTCCTCTTCCGGCTCCCCAAGCGAGCCCCGCTGAGCAGTCGGAACGAACGCGTGCTCCGCCTCTGGCCATTGCCGTACACACACTGCCTTATTTTATCTGTCTATATCATTCTTGCCATCTCACTCCCCCATAAAAAAAAAAGTCCTATTAGATTTATCACAGATAAATAAATCCATGAGAAAACAAAAAGTACAATTATAAAACAAGACCACCAGGAAAACTGCGGCAAAACAACATATGCAGTGAAATCCCAAATCATTACTGGAGACCATCGCCTGCCCAATCCAGCGTGCGGCTTCCTAGAAGCCACATCCAACGGAGAGAGACTGCTTTTTTTTCCTTTAAAATAAAAACAAAGATTTGGAAGTAACGCGCTTAACTCAGCTTTATCCTTATTACCAAATGAGATGTTTCCAAGTCTTTCCGTAATTGCTGATTGTTGCTTAGTGAGATGATTCCAAGGGAGAAACAACGGCAAGGCAAGTGAGACTGATTGTACAGGACCACAGAAACCGGCTTTCAGACAGGTCAAGTTCATGGCCAAACTCAAGAGGAGAAGCTCCCCAGGTCCCTAACAGAGTCCATTAGCGGGAAGATGTTCTTAAGTCCATAACAGTCTTTCAGATCGCTGCCGCCCTCCACCTACTAGGCAGGCATGTTCCCACCACGTGGAAAGGGCACTCCATTTTGGGAAAACTCTCTTTCAAGGATGACTCACTCTCTGATTGACTTTTTTTTATATCTATACATCAAAAGAAGCAATGAATATTTTAGCATGAATCTTAGCAGAATTTTAGCTTGAAAATTCAATCTCATCCTCAAATCAACATTTAATTAAGAAGATTAATCTGAGGGATGCTGGGACCAAACAGTAAGGCACCCCATTGCCTTCAGGGTAGCGGGTCGTGCAGGCCCTGGAAGCTTCCAACAGCATGGGGAGTTAGCACTGATGAAACCTAAGCAGATTTAGTGAGAACGATGTCAGGAAAGGTGTTAGGACATGGTGGCCCATGGGAGGGACATCAGCTCGTGCCTCAGTTACAGAAAGAACTGAACAATAAAGGACATGGGGGACCAGGATTGTGGTGCTGAAGAACCTAGGCGTTTTCTGCCTTTTGTGATTCTATCTTAATGGCTTGGCTGGGGGCTGTGTGAACTCCAGGCCCGATAGTCTACGTGACACCCCGCAAGACACCTGGCAGGACACCTGGCAGGTCACGTAGGCAGACCACTCCTCAGGAAGGAGGTAACCTGGTGTTTGAGAAGATTTGTAGCCCAATAGCTCATCGATTTGTACTTTTTGATAGTTGCTTGTTTCAAACCCACCAATAGAAGCCTGCTAAATCATGACTGTATAATTAATAGCCTGAAATGTATAAGAACTAGGGTCTTGGGCTCTCTCTCCTGGCTTGTGCTTCTTTTTGTTCTCCCTGCAGATCCTAGCAGCCTCGGCTGCGGCTGCCCCTCCCCAGCCCAGCAGACCTAGGCTGGCAGACCTAGGCTAACCTGAATAAACCACCTTTATGCCTTAGCACCAACTTCAGACTTGATGATTATCTGGGGATTTCAAAATCCGGTACAACAATGCAGGGTTTAAATTGTCACCCAGAATACTGGCATTCCATACGAGCATCGGTTCAAGTCCTGGCTGCTGTATTTCCAAACCAGCTCCCTGCTAAATTGACCTGAGAAAGCAGTGGAAGATGGCCCAGGCACCTGGCTCCTGCCAACCACATCAGAGACCCAGATGGAGTTCCAAATTCCTGCATTCCACTCAGCCCAGGCCTGGCCATTGTAGCCATCTGAGGAATAAATAAGAAGGTTCTCTCTCTGACTCCGCCTTTCAAATAAATAAGCTAAGGGCCCGGCGGCATGACCCAGTGGCTAAAGTCAAATAAATAAGCTAAATCTTAAAAATAAAACAAACAAATAAAAAGCGTGGAGTTGAACCTTTGTGGGATCCAGGCCATGTCCTGCAACATGGTGAAATGGTTGCAGACAGGAGAGTGTGGGCTGGTGGGCGAGGCTGCACTGCAGTCAGCTCGCACAGATTTAAGGACCTCTCCGGGAACGAGCACAGCTCTGCCCCAGCACCCGAGACAGGAGTGCTGGGCTGGGCGCGACACAGTCTGCTCCCTGAGGAAGGCAAGCCCTACTGAGAGGTGCACAGCCTCAGCAGTTGTAAATGGAACTCTTGAAGGAAGGCGTGAACTACAGGGAAGGCGGCCATGAACTTGGGCCATGTTACAGAACGGCAGCAGGAGACTGACTCTGCATAGGACTGGGGCAGCCTGCGGAGAGCGGCTGGTCTGGTTGGGTGTCCGAGAGCCAGCAGCTGACGCGCCAAGCGCTGGAGCTCCTAAGCCGGGACTTAGATCCATCACTTAGCTCCGTGTTTTTACCAGATTCCGAAACACTGAATTTCCCATCCAGACCTCTCCTTAAGTGTTTGTTTTGCTCCTAATATGTGAAATGCTGGAAACAGCCTCCTGGGCAGTCTCTCTGGCTCTCTCTCTCTTTTTTTCCTAGCAGTTTATCTACAAAGGAAGGAGGCTTCGGGGACAGCACATTCCACTTACAGCTGAAAAGCTTTTGTAGCTGCTGTTAGCCAGGTGCTCCGACCATTAGGGCTGAGAATAACAGGTCAAGGTCAAGCTCCCACCCCCACTGACACCATCAAGAGCTGCCGAGCCCCCCTCCTTAATGCAGTGGTGGGCGAACACCTCCAGATATTCTAGCGTTTTCCTCCATCACATGCCTCTGTCTGCATGTACCCGCCCTCAGCTGAAGAACAGGGCTAAATATTAACCAATCAGACCAGCAAGCAGTCCTGACTCTCCCAGGACCAGGAGTGAGTGCTACACCTTGAAAAGCCGGGGCTGGCTCTCCCAGGCTCAGTGAACTTCTGCCTCCTGTTGGACAAAGGTGAGCAGCGGGAAGGCAGCCCGTGGACACGGACTCTGAGGCTAGGCTCCAGGTGGGTGCACGGTGAGGATCTATGTGGAGGACGAGGAGAATTCCTTCTCCATCTCTGTAAATTGGGTTTTTTGTTTTTGTTTTCATATTGAAAAGATGGACTGGGGAAAG